AAAAAATTAATTTTGATGGTTTCTAAGCTTTTTATTTTATTTTTCTGAGCCTTTTAAACTTCATAAAGTTTGGTGTGGGGGACAACAGTTTATACAGGTAATTACGTTCACATCTGACAATGTCAACAAAGATTGATCAGGGACATGAGTTCTATTTCTCCCAATGAGTTCCTTTTCTCGTTCATGGCATTCCGGGTGTTCTGTTTCCAGCACTCTAGTTTCCTTGCCCCCCTGCCATCTCATCTTTGCTTTAAAGCCATCATTGACCTTTTGGTCTCTTATGGCTGGTCCCCAGAGTCCTGTTCTCACACTAATAACCAATTTTTGTGTATATCAATCTTGTCATTTCAGTTCAAGGTTGAAAAAGTGTCTCACGGCTTAGGAAGTCCAATAGGCTCAACCGGTCCAGGAAGCCTGGCCAGTTTTTCAGAATGCGAGTGCTGCCCTGTGGTTTTCTCCTGTTCTCTCAGGGCCCGGAGCAGAGGAGCCGCTTGCGAGCGTTTCAATGTCAACATTAAAAGTAAATAAAACAAAAGAGGAGCCCTGGTGGCAGAATCATCTGTATTGCATTGCATTTCCTAGTGGCATAGAGGTTATGGGGGGAACTGCTGAATTGTGAAGTCACGAGTTTGAAAGCCCCAGTCAGCCCTTCTGCAGAACGATGAGGCTTTCAACCCCAGGGACACTTCAACCCTGTCCTGTAGGCTTGCCAGGCGTCAGAAGTGACTCAATGGCAGCGAGTAGGTTTTATTTCAAATCAATAAGAATAAAACATCAAATGTGTCATGGTCTTTTAAACACAGGAAACAAAGTTACCTCTCTCAAGGTTGTTACTACCACTTGCTCATCCATACGATAGTAAACACAAGCACAGAGGAAGCATACTTAAAGCAGAAGGGAAACCTATCAACTGGCACAGGAATTGTTACTGTAGACTGCTGCTGGGTATATAGCCTAACCTGTAAGAACAGTCTCGTTCATTTGCCCAATGTGTACAGCAGGGAATGGGCAAGGAAGGTGTTTGCTAAGCATCAAATAGAGAAAACGGCCCCTTTTGCCTCTGCCCTCACCCTCATCCCCAGCACTGGGTGCAGTAGCAAATGAGTGAGTCACACTTACATGTCACATGCTGAGCAGTGGTGCGTCCGATCAGGTTTAATCAACTGACATCTCTCACAGTATCTGATGGCTACATTTAATGAAAAGGACACTGTTAGAATTTCTACAAACACCACTATCTTGGCTGTAACTTGCTTCTACTTCTTTTAGAAGTCAGTGTGAGAAGTTGACACTTAAACGAAGCTTAAATAAAATCACAAGGCATGAGTGAGTCTCAAAATGTCAAGGTACAGAAACCTTGGAAGCCTGGTTCGTGCCAGCAACTGTCAAATACAAGAGCAGAGTATAGTCAAAGTCAATAAAAGCCTTGGGCCCATCTCTTTCCCTTTTGTCCACGGCTTCTCTTCCTGCTAAGTGAACATTGTCCTCCTTCGTTACAATGTTTTAAAAATCATTTTATTGGGGGCTCATACAACTCATCACAATCCATACATCTATCCATTGTGTCATGCATATTTGTACATTTATTTGCCATCATTCTCAAAATATTTTCTTTCTACTTGAGCCCTTATATCAGCTTCTCATCGTTTTCCCCTCTTTCCCCCACCCTTCCTCCCTCACGAACTCGTGATAATTTATAAATTATTATTATTTTGTCATGTCTTACACTGTTCACTGTCTCCCTTCACCCACTTTTCTGTTGTCCATCCCCCTGGGAGGGGGTCATATATAGATCATTGTGATCGGTTCCCCCTTTCTCTC